TAGTATTTGCCTCACATATTGAGGTGCCCCTATATCTCTCTCCTTCTGTTGGGCCATTAGTATAAGTAGTTGAACTGGGTTTGGGTTCTATTGTTGCTATGATTACCTTCAGTGCTTCATAGATTTCAAATTTTTCCAATGATAGCATGGGCCTATGTGTTATTACTGGGGTCCCAGAAGGTTTTTCAAGTTTTTCAAAAAGTTTCTGCATCATCCACATTTTTCAGCTATACCTACATGCCTACAATACAGAATTGATCTCTCTTTCCCTACATTCTTGCCCATCACCTAGTGGTGCTACCACTTGTTACTTAGTTCTTACTGGACTATTAGTGGAGATCAAAGGACTTACTCTGCTGTCCTGGCCAGCTTCAGTTTTAGACTGGTCATGTGTCCTGATGCTAAGGGATGGAGCTTGCTCAACATCCTTGTCCTTCCTTCCAGTGGCAGCCAAACTCTGCCTTGTATATGTGGTGGGTCTAGTGCAGAAATTTTCTGCCCTCTTCCAGTATTAGAAGACCTCTAATGGTACTGGTATAAGACCCTAAGCCCAGGACTATTTTCTGTCCTTCTCCCAAGAGTTGACAGGCTTTTTTTCTTTTACCTTCTCCACGGTTTTAACAATTGGTCTTTACCTGTGTTCTGCAGAAAGAGTTTGCTGCCCATCCCCCAGTGTCACAAAGTTTTTGGTCTACATGAGTGAAGGGTCCAAACTGGGGGCGGCGGGGGGGCCTTCATGCCTTTCTCAGAGCAGTGGCGGATCCCATCCTCTATGCCTGTAACATCACTGATGGCTTTCTCTGATCTCTTACCCAGCTCCCAGTCTTTCTCATGAGCACTCAGTGGAGGTCCATGGAAAAGGCCATATGAGTGAGTTAAATTCCTCCTAGATCTTAGCTCCAACTAAGATATTACTGATCCATTAACTCTTTAGTTGATTTCCTCTTTCTCACCTGTGTGATAGATATGCCTTTCTTCTTTGCTCTGTCACAAATGAGGGAGGTCAGGGCATCCTGTCACTCTCTCCTGAGAGGGGCTAGTCTCAACTTGGATTTCCAGGTATTTGGCCACTCCATAACTCCAGCTCTCTAATGGGTTCCAGAAAAGTTTTCATTTTGTAGTTTATCTGTTTTGATTGGGAAGAAGCAATACTCTTTCCAGCTTTCTATACTGTAGACATAAGTAGAAGTATCTCATAGCAATTAGCTTTAAAAAGAAAAAAAGTGCTGTGCATGTATTCACAAGGAAGAAAGACTAAAAAAAAAAAAAAAAAAGAAAAAAGAAAGAAATTCTCATATAGAAAGGGTGGTTATTAATGTGGTAGACTTTTGGGTCATTTACATTTTTCTTCTATGTGCTATTCTATATCTCTCAAGTTCTTTACAGAGAGATAATTTTATAACTTAAAAAAAAGATCTGCATATATATATGTGTATTCTATTTTTTAAGTCAAGTGCAAATGATAGAACATTATTTTACCATAGAAATGCCATTTACTTGCTGTTTTTAAAATAAACTTTCAAATAAATTTTGTGTCCTCAGAATTCATACAATTACATATGTATTCAATATCTGTAATCTTTCTCAGTATCCTCTGTTCAATGTAAAAGACAAAATTCTTGCTAGGAAAAGAAATTAAAGTTTGATTTAAGAAAATAATTATGCTTAAAGCTTCATAAGAATCTATCTTTTTCTTATAAATTTATTTATTTATTTTTGGCTGCGTTGGGTCTTTGTTGCTGTGCGTGGGCTTTCTCTGTGGCGAGCGGGGGCTTTTCTTTGTTGTAGTGTGCAGGCTTCACAGTGGCTTCTCTTGTTGTGGAGCACAGGTTCTAGGCGCATGGGCTTCAGTAGTTGTGGCATGTGGGCTCAGTAGTTGTGGCTTGCGGGCTCCAGAGCACAGGCTCAGTAGTTGTGGCACATGGGCTTAGCTGCTCCATGGCATGTCGGATCTTCCCGGACCAGGGCTCGAACCCATGCCCCCCACATTGGCAGGTGGATTCTTAACCACTGTGCCACCATGGAAGTCCCCATAAGAATCTCAATACAGTAGTTTTTCCTGTTTTGAGAGCCTTGTGTTAAAGAAAACTAACTGTTTTTATTCATATTATGTCTTACACCTCATAATATAATCTCCCCACAATGACAGCTACGATTGCCAAAGTGATTTCTGTCACTCCAGGTTATAATGTAAATGTAGCCCAGGAAATAAGATAAACAGCAATTGAAGAGTAAAAGGCATCTGTAAACCAACCCCCGCCAAACTGAATATTTTTTTTAAACTGGCAATGTTAAACATATCAAAGGAGTTTTCAGGCAAAAACTTAATATAGTTAAGCAGTAAAAAGACTTCTGAACAATTTACTCAGATTATCCCTTTACCATATTACCTTTCCTCCAAAAAAGGATAGAAGAAGTCATTATGCAATGAACTTGTAATAATTTACATACAGTAACGTACCAAAAAGTACCTTAGAGACCATTCTCTGGTACTAAGTAATTTGATGGTGGTCATTTAAAGGGTAAAAAAGTTTTGGTTTATAATTTCCAAAGATAATCTCATTTCCAAAAGAACATTTCTATGAAATCAATCTCATTTTCGGAGAAAAGAACTAATTAATTACACAAACCTTGTGTTTCATTTTTTTACTTAGTAAGAATGGCTATCAAGCAAGTAACCAAAACTATTTTCCAATTGTCTATTTTCAGAGTTGTGTGGCACACCATACATCCACTCACTTCTTTCTTTCCTTCTTTCTTTCCTGTTCCTTCCTTCCTTCTTTCCTTCCTTCCTTCCTCCCTCCCTCCCTCCCTTCCTTCCTTTAAAATTTACTAAGCTGGGTGCAGAGGATATTGTGCTGAACAAAACTTAAAATGTTTCTACCCTTCAAGAGGCCTTTTCTTACATCCTCAATTTGTCTCAGACTCGGTTCTTATTTTGTTGCTGTATATTTTCATCACTTAATAATAATTGCACAGTTCCTCAATTACAGTAGGTACTCTTCGAAGACATGCATTTTCAGCAACTTAATGTCCTTACCACCAAGCACCATCTCACAAATAATAGATTACTCACAATGCATGATGAATAAAACAAATAAATAAACAAAGGAGCTTATAGTCTAGCACACACAGAAACGCACAGATACAATAAACGCATAGAGCAATAAAATCTAAGATGAGCTATAATGACAGTATTCAGAGATTACCGAAGTAGCACAAAGGAGTCAGCAGATCAACTCCATTAGGGGTGGAAGTGGTCAAAAAGCTTCATTCAGCACATGATATTTAAACTGAATCTTGAAAGATGGTTAGAAGTGAGTCAGGAGCTTCAGAAGAGAAGAAATAACTTCAAGTAGAAAGAAAATCATGAGCAAATTAAGAGAGATAAAAAATAGCATGTTATGATCAGAAAATAGCAAACAGGCTGGTATGACTGAAGCATGGGGTGACAGGGAAATTACCCTGAGATATGAATCTGGAAAAGGTACAGGGGACTAGGTCAAGGAATGGGGGAGAAGGCAGATAGACAAATATGTCAGGCTAGAGTATGCCGTGAGAAATCTCTGCAAAGGTGAGAAGAATAAAGTTAAATGATAAGATTTGATTTTAGAAAACTTACTCTAGGGGACATACAGAATAGAATAAGGAAAACTAAAGGACAGATGGTTGGGAAAGTAAAGTTAGAGGTAAAAGAACAATTAGGAGACTACTTAAATAGTCCAAGACAAATATGACTACAACATGAATTAAAGCAGCCATACTGGGAAAAGAAAACTTTAAAGAAAAAAAAAAAAAAACTGAAAAAAAGAAATTGATGTAATTTTGTCCTCAATTAGATTTAGAGAGGCTCATTTACAAATGAGTACTGCCCTCATTTGTTAAATGGTAATAATTAGTGCTTACCTCAAAGAAATATTATAAATTCCTGAGATAATGCATGTAAAATACTTCACAATATGATTGCCAAAGAATAAGGTTTATAAACATGGCAGTAATTATTTTGTTGATGCTGATGCTGATTGGATTTGAATCCTGGCTTGAATACTTACTCCCTGTGTGACCTTCATGAAGTTACTTAATCTCTCTTTCCCTCACATTCCTCCTCTGTAACAATGGAGTATGCTCCCTAGTACCTCATAGATAAGTACTATTTTGAGTTTTATAGATGTAATAACATATTCATGAAGGGTTTATAAAAATTTAGACCAATATCTGAAACTTTATTTTTAAGAAAAATAGTTATTAATAGAAAATAGGAGTTGAAAATGATTCTCGGATTTCCAATATGAGCGAACGGTGATACTCACTGAGAGGAGGAGGCTCCTTTAAAAAGCCAATCATTCTCCTTCAAATTCTTTAAGATGAATTAAGTGTTCTTCTCAGTGTTTTGCAAGCACACTATACATATTACAACACTCACCATGGTATATTTTAACTGTCTATTTTCATGTCTATTATCCTCAGTAAATACTGATGATATTTAAGGGCAAAAAACTGTCTGTTAATCCTGCATCCCCAAAAAGCAGGATGCATCTGGTATATAAACAGGCTCAATATACGTTAGTGAAATAATTAAACTTAAAGGAGATATGAATTCCTTTAACAAGTCCAGAGAATATTTGGAAAGAATGGTATTTCCAAAGAATTTTACATGCTACTCCCCTACGGGCCTTAAATTTTCATCAAATAGAATGTAAAAAATAGTATATTATACTACTCTTTCCTAGTGAATTCTCACTAGATAGTGTTGAAATGTAAATCTGTAAAGAAAATAGCAGAGAATAAAGTAAATAATATAAACAAAAAGAAATTATTCAAGAGTTTCCAACTTTCCTTTTCACCATGACCATATAAATATAGCAGTGCCACACTGTAAAGGGCTAATATTAAGACTTTCAAAATAAGAGCTAAGGGAACATCAAAAGTATTCCAGAATATTTATGTATATGGAGCCATAATCTCACTATCTGTTGTATTTCCATTGTTTCATACTATACCTTAGATGAAGATCTTCTGAAAACTTCAGACAGGCATAGATAAATTCTTTAATTTGGTTGTAAACTTTTGGCACAAATTCAGAGAATGGAAACTTTTTTGGAAATGGTTGCTGTAAAAGCAAGAATTAATGAAAGCCAAGTCACAAACCAACATACATTGAAAATACCTATAAATTAATTAAAATGCAAAGGAAATTTTCTTCCACACTGTGAACTGCCTGCTTAACAATCTCAGACTAAAAGAAATATATTTGTGAAAGTTTTCTGATACTAAAAAGAATAAGATTAAATTAAATAAACAATAATTCAAATGTCCTCCAAAACCTGATAAATAAATTGTGATACATTTTCAGCAATAAAAAGTAATGAGTTACTGATACATGCAACAACTTAGATGAATCTCAAAAGCATTATGTTCAGTGAAAGAAGCCAGTCTCAAAAGGTTACATACTATATGATTCCATTTATAAGGCATTCTAGAAAAAGCAAAAGTGATGGATAGCAACAAGACTGGTGGTTGGCAAAGGCTGGGGGTTAGAGGAGGAACTGATTAAGAAGGTGTAGCATGAGGGAATTTGTTGGAATCATGGAACTGTTCTGTATCATTATTGTAGTAGCACATACATGACTCAATGCATTGTCAAAACCAATACAGTTATATAGTATGGTAAATTCTACTGTATGTTTTGGGGATAAAATGTCCTAAAAGTATAATAAAAGAAAGTATTGGAAAGTGTAAGCCAAAATGGAACACTTCCAGAAATCCCCCAAACACTTCAGAGGTGACAATACCCCAAAGCCATTTACTGATTCCCCAAACAGGAACTTCTGCTCTTCTAAGCCCTTCTAAGCCCAAAAATCATCCTTTGAAGGTGTTTTAGATTTCTAACCCATTGAGTTAGAAGTCATGCCTTTAATGAGACTGATACAAAGAAAGCTTTAAGGGGATGCCAAATCAGAGAAATTTATTTTAAAGCGTTCCTTACCTTTTCCAGCTCTGTATCTTGGAATGGGAATTGTCCTACCACCTTTTTATATATCTCTTCACTTGTTACTGGTATAGGACTGTAGTTGTCAGAATCAAGTATGTTTCTATAAAGAAAATAAAAGAAGAAAGGAAGGGAGGAGGTAAAAAGGAAAGAAGGGTTAGTTAATCACTACAGTGATCACAAATAATTTTCAGATGCGCTCCAAGAGTTGTATATCCACCTCAACCCAAAATAAATATTTCCCAGTCCCTAATCTATTCCTTTTATAATACAGCTATTTGGTCTCAGGTAAGGACATCTTTAAAAAAAAAGAAGGAAAATTACATTCTAAAACAAATGGAACACAATTATAAACATGACCTCATAGTATTTGAGATTTACAGGTCAGACAGAAAATTTTAAGGCAACATGTTGAAGCCTTAAGGCAAGTGAGAAGTAAATAATAAAAGAATGTGAGCTCTGGAGAAGGCAAAGAGGTTTTATTTGCTTTTTTTAAAAAATAACACATTTTTGATTATGTTCTTTAATTCTGTACTAGATCTAACTTTCAAAACTGGCAGATGAGGAGAAGCAAGTTCTATAATAAATCCAAATTATGTTCATTTACTTCATCTACTGCTCTATATTAAGAATGACTTTTTCTTCATCCATAGGTTTCGCCTCCTTAACTGGACTGGGGGTTCTCTAAAAGCAGAGACCATACTACCAAAATCAAAAAAGAAATTTACTGAAGGCATCAGATCAGATGCTCTTAAAACCATGGATATATCATGTTACAAATTTTCAAGAGATAATCCTCCTCTAAATAAAACTGTATCATTAATAAACTGGGCTTTTAGAAACACAAATGCTTATACTAATATATAAATGAGTTGCACTACATGATTATCAGAGACATGTTCATAAAATGTGAAGAGTAAGATTAAAGGGACAATGTAATATCTTAAAGCTATACGAACCTGAAAGCAGGGAAAGCTGATCTAGGGAAGAAGTCTTACAGTAAGCAGAAAGATCACTTTAAGGAGTAAAGGTGTAAAAGGAGAAGAAACAAGTGGGCTGACATGAGTTGTGTGCCAGGAAAACAGTGCAAGGAAACATTTGTAAGTGGAGGTGTCATGCAATAATTTTCTTATTGTTGTATCCATGTTGCAGTAACTATTTAAATAATATGCTTCAAATACTGGATTGTAATAAATCTCTTCTCCGGGTATAAGAGAATAAAGATGATGAGGAATCACATGAGTGAGTCTTCAAAAAAGTTCCAAGAAAACTAAATTACTTGAAAGGGCTCAAAAGCCACTACCTTACACGTGAGACATAGACTGGGCATGATCCTCAAAGAGAAAATCAAAAAACAGATTAAGAAGACACAAGGTGATCTGGTTGGTATGAACCAAGGTATATGACATTCATTCAAGGAAACAAAAAAGCCAAATGGGATCTGGGGACTCCTCACATAATAGGTACTAATATACTGAGACTGGATATCTCAGGAACTTTATTTGGGACACCACTACACCTTATTTGAATTCTTAATCATAACTGGGATCAGAGCTAGAAAAAATAAGCCACATATACTTGTTGCTTATTACATCTGAAAAACCTTATGTACAAAGACGTGTGTACACACATGCATGCACACACGTGCGTGCGCACACACACATAACTATAGACGATTTCTCACCTGAAAATACCTGACCACTTCTTTAGCAAAGTTTCACTATATTGATCTCTGATTTCTAACAGCATGTCAAAAAGCTGATTTACAGGAAAACCATACACCTGAAACAAAATAAGAAAATAGCTTCATTTCATAAGGTGATTTTTTTTAAGCAACATGAGAGATTAGGCACTGAAAGATGTTTTTGTTCTTTGGCCAACAATTTAAATAAAACCATGATAAGAAAAATCTTTCATTCCCACCTAATATCTAGTGTTCATTCTTAAGAATTAAAAGATATATACCAATATAAGCCAGTCAGAAAAAAATTAAAAGCTGAACATTAAAATTAATATATACTGGGTATAAATGTCAGCTAAGTTTTCCCTACAACTCCTTCTGTAAATCTTAGCAACCTTCAGGAATAGGGAGAGAAAATGAGAATGCTACCAATCTCACCCACTTCTAATGCTGTTCTATTGAATATAATATGTGGTTCATTATTTAAAACAGTAGTTATGAAACTCCAAAATCACTCAGACATTAGATCTGAATTAAGGACATTTTGAAGAACTAAGGTAGTGAGTTCAATTAATTGATTTGCCTTGAGAAAAAAAGGGGGAAAAGAACAATTTATGAGAACATAAACGGTCAAGGTGATGAGCAGGAAATGCCACAAAGAGATAAAAAGTTCTAGCTCTAGGAAAAGAAGAAACACAACTAAAAACTAAAAGTTACTTACTCAAGCTTAGATAGACAATGAAAAGATTTAGAGGTGATGAAACACTCATCTAGATAAGTCTGTGTAAACATAAACCACAAACCTGAAGTGTGTCAGCAAAAAGCACAATGAGGTTCTTCAAATCTAACACGAGGTTTGGATCAGAGCAGTAAGACTAAAGGAAATAAAAGACAATGAGGAAAAACACCTTTATTAAAAATAAAAGTAAATTTTAATTTACTCAACTGCTTAATGCTGCACCTGGTAAAGGCTCTCTGGAAAACCTTCCTGGTTTAAAGTAACACCAGATTCATCCAGGGAAGAGTGAGTAAAGACTCCAATAATCCATGATCTACATTTTTAACACTTGGAAATTTAAAAACACACTTCTAAATAACTGTTTGGTTAAAGAAGAAATCAAAATTGATATTGCAGATTATTTAAAAATGAACAGCAATGAAATAGTTCAAATCAAAACCTATGGAATGCAGCTAACACCATTTTAAAAACAAATTACATCTTAAATGTGAACATTAGAAAACATAAAAGATTTAAAATAAACAAACTAAGCACTCAACTCATGAAGCTAGGCCAAAAAAGCCAAAATAAACCATAAATGAGAGAACAAAACTGATAAAATAAAAAGCAGACATTAATGACATAGAGAAGACATGAAAGATTTGATCAATGAAACCAAAAGCTCAAGTTAAACATAAAATCAATAAAATAGACAAATCACAGTTAAGTCCAATTAAACAACAAAGAGAAAACAAAACAATACAAAGAATACAAAAACAAACATAAATACGAGGAAAATACAAATTACAAATAAAGTCCATGTATAATCTCTTATCAACAAAGTTGAAAACTGAAATGACATGGAAGATACCGTCTGTGGACAAGCTACAAAGATGTATATGGCACTATTTTTCAGTGACTTTGATATTCAAATTCTCTTAATTATAGTTTGATTACTTGCCCTCTACTTAATTGCTCAGTTCCTGAAGGAGTGTTAAATTCTCCCACAATGGTGTGGTCCCTTGGTTTCTCTTCCTACTACTTAACGGTTTTTGTTTATATACATACTGAAGCTTGCTTGTCCCCAGTAAATGGGTTATTGTCTTTTTGGTGGGTTAAAAATAATATCAAAACAAACGTTCCTCTCTTCTCCCATTTAATGGTCTTGAACTTCAATCCAATTTTCTTGAAGAATATTGCCCTTTTTGCTCCCCATTCTTTATTTTCAATCTTTCTGTTTAATCTTAATGTATGAATCTCTCTTAGTAACCAAACTATAATACTTTCCAACTCTGGCATTTCTCATGAATACTTACATATTTGGACCTATTCTAGCCATCTTATTTTAAGTTTTCTATTTTCAATGATTTCTTCTTTCTTTTTTGTTTCCTTTCCTGTTTTTCATTGGATCAGTGTTTTCAGATTATCTTATACTGGTTATTAATGTTATATACATTCTGCCCACTGTTTATTTGACATAATCTGGGGTTTTCATCTAAAAAATGTTTTAAACTTAAGCTTCTCCTCTTTTAGGGATTCTTAATAGCATAAACTTTACAAATAATCAAGCAATCAGTTATTTAGATTTATCTATGAGTTTTACTCTCATTTTTGCACCCATTTATTTACTCCCATCCCATCTTGCATTTAGAATTTCTTTTTCATCTTTGGTAAAACACCAGTAAGACAGCATGGGTGAAAAGTAAACTTCGAACCCTCATGTGTTTGGAAATGACTTTCTTTTGCACTCAAACTAAAATACACAATTTCAGATGCGAGGAAACTGTCTGCCCTAATTTACCCTGCCTGACCAAAAAAATGCATCCTTTCAACTGTAATAATCTAGTCTTTATTTAATGCAGGGTAATTTTCCTCTTTTATTTAATTATTTAAGTCCCCTGCTTTGTGACTGTTCTTTCTTTCTAAATCCCTATTAGATACAACCAAAAATCTACATCAATTATCCATGTTCCTTAACTTTCCATTCATATTTTCCATCTCTTTGTGTCTTCACTCTATAATTTGGGATATATATTTGATTTTGTCTTCTTGATCACAGAATGATATGCCGTTTTATCTATTTAATCTTTGAATTAAATTTCTCTATTATGGTAGTCATAAATTTCCAAGAAAGCAATGTTTATCTTTGATTTCTATCCTTCTGTGGCTTGCTTCCTTCCTTTTCCTCCTTACCACGTTTTTTAAAATTGTGAATATAGTATACATAAAGAAAATAATAAATAAAACCTATATGTACAACTTCACCAGGCAAACAAAACTAAATAGCACCAGCATGCCAGAAGCTCCAAAACAACTTCTTTCCTCTCCATTCAGGAAAACATTATCATGACATTTATGATAATCATTTCCATGTCTTTCCTTCATGTTTTTGCTTCTTTGTACTTTTTAACTTAATAAACTTTATTTCTTAGAGCAGTTTTGTATTTACAGATAAATTGAGCACAAAGTACAGAGTTCCCATATATCCCTTCACACAGAAATTCATGCACAGATTCCCTTATTATAACATCTTGCATTAGTGCGGTAACATTTGGTACAGCTGATGAACCAACACTGACACACTGTTATTAACTGAAGTCCATAGTTTACATTAGAGTTTACTCTTTGTGTTATATAATCTACGGGGTTTAACATATGTATAATGACATATTCCACCATTACAATATCGTAGAGAATAGCTTCACTGCTCTAAAAATTCCCTGTCTTCCACTTATTCATCCCTCCATCCCTCTCCCAAATCCTGGCAACCCTGATCTTTTTACTGTCTCCGTAATTTTGCCTCTTCCATAATGTCATATAGTTGGAATCATATGAGTATATAGCCTTCTCAGATTGGGTTCTTTTACTTAGCAATATGCATTTAACTTTCCTCCACGTCTTTCTGTGGATTGATAGACCATTTCTTTTTTGCCACTGAATAAATATTCAATTATAAGAATGTACCAGAGTTTATCCATTCACCTGCTAAAGGACATCTTGGTTGCTTCCAGGTTTTGGCTATTATGAATAAGCTGTTATAAACATGAGTGGGCAGGTTTCTGTGTTAACATAAGTTTTCAACTCATTTGGCAAATACCCAGAGTGTACTTGCTGGATCATACAGTAAGAGTATGTTTCATTTTGTAGAAACTGCCAAACTCTCTTCTAAGCTGGCTGTACCATTTTCCATTCCCATCAACAATGAGAGTTCCTGCTGTTCCACATTCTCTTCAGCATTTGGTGTTGTCAGTATTTTAGCCATTCTAATGGGTGTGTGGTGGTAGCTCATTGTTGTTTAATTTGTAATTCCCTGAGGACATATGTTGTTGAGCATCTTTTGTATGCTTTCCTGCCATTTGAATATCTTCTTTGGTGAGGTATCTGTTCAGAACTTTTGCCTGTTTTTTAATTGGGCCCGTTTTTAAATTTTTTTCTTACTGTTGAGTGTTAAGAGTTCTCTATATATTTTCAGTACCAGACCTTTATCACGTATGCCTGTCAGTTCATTCTCTTAATTTCATTGCTTTGTAACCATCTAAATACTCAGTCTTATTCAATATTTTCTTTCTCAATATGATGTAAGTGGAAAAAATCTGTATGTATAAATTTCTGTCTTGCTTTTATAATTCAACATTATACTTGTGAAATTCATCCATGCTACTGTATATAGCTATAGTGTGGGCATTTTCATGCTGTATAATATTCCATGTTAGGAGTTTAACCCAGATTGTTCATTTTATTACCAATGGACATTTAAGTCATTTCTAATTTTGAAAATTCAACAATGCTGGAATGAATATTCTTGCATGTGTATTATGGTGCATTAGGGCAAGCTTCTCAAGGGAATATAGTTAGGAAAAGTATTTCTGGTTCATGAGGATCTTCGATTTTAAAAGATGATGCTAATTTTTTCAAAGGGGTTCTGAATACTTCATATCCTTATCAACATTTGTGTTATTAATTCTTACATAATGTTATCTCATTTTGTTTTAATTTGCATTTCAATGATGCACTAAAGTTAAGCATCTTTCACGTTTCTCAGCCAAGTGAATTCCTTCCTTAGTGAAGTACCTGTTTAAATCTTTTGCTTGTTTTTTCTATTGTCTGTCTCTATTGTCATGATGAATAGTGAAATTTTTGTATGTTTTGTGTTAGTTCTTTGCTGATTTTGTGTTGAAAACATCATTTCTCATCATATAGCTTATTTTATCTACTATCTTTCGTTTTTTTGTTTTTTCTTACAGCTTTAACGCAGCTTAATATTTAATGTATGAATCTTTTCCTTTCTGGTTAGTGCCTTTGGTATTTTAGTTAGGAATTCCTTCCCTAACCTGAATCATAAACATATTCTCTTATACTATCTTCTGAAAGATTTATGGCCTTACATTTTACATTTTGATATTTTATCAACCTGAAACTCATTTTTTGGTATATTATTTCCCCCATACTGATAGTCAACTGTCCCAGTACTATTCATTGAAATGTCTGTCCTCTACCCACTGACCTGCAATACTATCTCTTTTATAAATATCAAAGATCTTTTTTGGAGGCCCTATATTCTGTTTCATTATTTATCCAATGACAGTACCGGAGTGTCTGGTACTCATTTAATAAGATTTCTAAATTAAGTCTTGATATCCAGTAGAGAAAACCCACCAACCTTATCTCAGTCTTAAGGAGTCTCTTAGCTGTTCCTGGCTTTTGTACTGGCTTAAGACCATAATTCAAAAAGAGCCACATACCAAAATGTTCATTGCAGCTCTATTTACAATAGCCAGGAGATGGAAACAACCTAAGTGTTCATGATCGGATGAATGGATAAAGAAGATGTGGCACATATATACAATGGAATATTACTCAACCATAAAAAGAAACGAAATTGAGTTATTTGTAGTGAGGTGGATGGACCTAGAGTCTGTCATACAAAGTGAAGTAAGTCAGAAAGAGAAAGACAAATACCGTATGCTAACACATATATATGGAATCTAAGGGGAAAAAAAATGTCCTGAAGAACCTAGGGGTAAGACAGGAATAAAGACACAGACCTACTAGAGAATGGACTTGAGGATATGGGGAGAGGGAAGGGTAAGCTGTGACAAAGTGAGAGAGTGGCATGGACATATATACACTACCAAACGTAAAATAGATAGCTAGTGG